ATTGCATTTTCATGCCGATGAGTTTGGATACTCTGATCCACGAATATAGCGTGAAGTATAGAACACAACTTTTCAAAGCCTAATACGCATATAATGTTTATTTTACTTTAACGTAAACGTACTCTGTACATTCGCTCAGACTCAGGTTTTACTATATATTGAAAAAATAATTGATGAAATGTAAATGTTAATAACCTTCATCAAGTTCTGGAATGAWATCTTTCTAAATTAAAACTCTTTCATACCAGAACTTGAGTTTATATGGAATTRCACTGGCCCACAAACCACACGAAACCGTTCCTTTTTCTGGATGAAATGACATCTCTTGAATCATTTTAGGCTTATCTTCGTTGCTCGTTTAGGTACCCAATGAGCCAGAAATGAGTCTATCTGGATCGAAAACGTCGGATCTTTTTGGAACTTTTGTAGAGGCCAAAGAGCGAAGCGATATCGCTTGGGAAGGTCGAGCGGCTACAGTTCTTTCAGAARGTGTAATTTGTACGCTTTCAATTTAATATCTCATAGTAGTAAGTCTGAGTTGCTGCGAACGGCGCCGTATTGACTCTTCACAGACGTCGTGTACAATCTCAGGTAAGAGTGTTATATTTCCTTCACAGCGTGCTGGACGTGATCTCTTCGGTCGAATATATTATTCAGTAATGAATGCTGAGCCTCAAGATGGGTGATGGAGTTGCGATTAGTAGGCCGATTATGTGGGTGATATAGGCCGAATTTCGCGAAGCGCGCGGAGCACATTCCTTACAAAAGGTGAATTTTCGTTATAAAGTTGAACGATCTGCAAACGTTGGTCAGGTGTAAGTCTTTCCATTATAAAACCAAAATAATACTGAACAAAAATAACATAACAGCATGACACGACTCATGATCTGTCAAAAACAGACGATATGTATTTGCTTATCAGCTTTAGTTGWAAACAACTGGGTTCGAAATATAAGTGAAAATTTCTGAAAACCGCAAAAATTCGCACCGGAATGTGCCGCGAAATAATCAGCAAACAGCGCCTAGTAACTATGCTAATATGCGCAAACTGTGGACACGGGTAGCTGTATATACATTGCATATGCATAAGTATACATGTAGATATTTTTTAGCGCATAGCTTTGAGCATGAACGAATAATCAAACTAAAAAATGCGGATAGCGGGTGACATGCTAGAAATGAAAAGTGAGAAAGAACAACCAGCTCCTCTGGCAGCCAGTTTTTCTTATCAGGCGTGGCATGCTTTTGTATATTTTCGGAGCACGCTTCAGCGATCACGTAAAGTATCAGTTAGTAAAAAATCAAACTAATCTAAAATAACTAGACAACTTCTGATTAAAATCGAACTAGTCCTGAAAGTACCAGATTTTTAGTATGACAGTTTTCGGAAAGTTGGTCCATAGAGAGAACAGAGCACATCGGCGCATCGATAAATTGGATCTCTAAGCCATTCAATTGTTCTAAGAATTTTTATATATTTTTTATGAACTACTACGAAGCTGCTTTATTTATGATCAAAATCTGACAATTGGCAACAACCAAAGGCAGTAGCTGGTTTGCTGTTCATACAATCTGTAAACATATTTTTAGCTAGTACATTTCGCCACAGGGCAGTTGCCGGAGGAATTTCGACAATGTTTTGGGTGGAAACTACCAACAAACAAAAAAGGCAATCAAGTTAGAAAAAGTATTTTGTTACTGTTATTGTGGCTACGAAAATTCTAAACAAATTAAAATTTCGATCTCACCCAGACCACATTGTGCCAGTGAGTCACTTGACATCGAACTCGGCGGTTTGATTAAACTTTTTTCTTATCGTTGAAAAATTCACATTCTCTGTAACGAATGCAGCAATAACAACAACAAAAAACAAAAACAAAACACGGTATATAGCTTACAGCTGTCACTCTGCAGTGCTTTTGGCGATTGTGAATAATTTTTGTTTTTGAGCGATAGCGACGCGATGTCGTGGACATGTATTGAGGCTGTCTGATAAACGTTCATAGCGGCTTATCTAAAATTTTACTTTTAGTTCTCGTTTAATTTAAGGTTTAGATATATATGTTTTTATTTTTTAAATATTCTAAATTGTTCCAACAAGCTCAATGAAAACACTGGCCTGGCGTATTCTAAACACASTTAATAACTTTTTTAATCTTAAAAATAATTTATTTTTAGTTTGAATTGACAAAGCCCCAAAGCATTTGTCCACTTAARTGAAGCCATTATGCTCATATTTTTCATAATTCTGTGCACTTTTAAAGATTTTTGTAGCACTTGTTATCAAATTGGGKTYYTTTTKKTTTTTTTKTTTATTTGCGTTTTGCAAATTTATTTACTTTTCCTTTGCCAACATTTTGAACTTGCTGGCGTCTCTTGTCGAATGCGCTGCCGTCGCTGCCCCACGTCGTTTATCTTTTGTCCTGCGCCATTTTATCTGATATCCTTGTTTGGCGATGCGCATTTCAAATTCAATACAGCCATTGGCAATTTGGCCTGCTCACCTATTACAGCATGCCGCGCACTCGCCGCAAGCCGCTCGCCACTGTGCCGATGCTTGCCTTATACCTATTGCACGTTGCGTTATTTATGGCTCTGCCATTGATGCTGATGGCGAAAGCACTTTTGAAATTTTGCCAACAACGACAGCAACAACAACTCCTTCAAGCTGATTGTATTATTTTGCCTTTTTTGTGTTCCTAATAGCAAAAACATTACAGCAACATGCAAGCGGAAATCAGGAACAGCAAAAATAAGCTGCGGAACGATTGAAAATCCCAAACGACATTGCTTGCACATAATGCTGCCGCACACACCATATCCATGCCCATCAATATGCTCGTACATGTGTATGGGTGTGCTTGGATTGGGTAAGCGTATGCGGTTGTGCAATCAGCTTGGCAACAGACAACGCTCGTTATAGCTGCTGGCGGACATAAGTTAACGATTGTTCATTCAGGCAGCCAAACAGCAGGCGAGAGTTCATTGTGACTCCTGCCGTGGCAGAGAAAGAAAAGTAGGCAACGAAAGGAAGCGGCAGTAGACGGTAGGAGACGTTCGGTGAGRCTGTAATTGCAGTCGAAACTTGGTGTTTGGGTTGTCTGCCTGCTGGTGACGCTGRTTGCTGCACCAGTTAGCAGTTAAACACCGATATTGGTGTTTGTGTTGCCTGCACATACATACGCGCAGCTGCAGCGCACTTTCCGTGTGCGTGTGTGTATGGTATGCGTGTGGAAAGTGCAAAAGTGCAAAGTTGTTGAAAAGTCTTACAACATATTCGCCCAGTTCGGAGGTTTTTACAGCAGTTTTAGTGGATTTTGTGATTTCGTTAGTTGCTAAGGATTGCCGACAATCGTTCGTTTGCTGTCTGTGTATTAGTGCGAATTAACATGTGCTTGTTTTTTGTATGAGTATGTGTTGTAGTTATTTCGCATGCAAAMTCTGCATATTTTCACACAAATATCTGAACTGGTCTGGGATGTATCGATTTTAGACATTTACGTCTGCACAGTCGAGAAGCTTATCATTTATTTTTAAACACGTTATTCGGCACTTGCAGTCTATAATTAGTCTTATTACTATTTGACTATAATAATTTATAAATTTTATAATTTCTTTTAGTTCTTCGAGTGGTTTATATAGTAGTACATATATATAGTCCATATAAACTCTTTCCTTCAACATCCTCTAAAGCCCATAGATGAGTACAAGCGAGTTGATTAGAGTATCTTCTTAGCAATTATTCTTTTCCTGTCTATATTTCACTAGCCGCGTTTGTAATATTATATAAAGCTATGTACTCAGTAATTGTATAAAATATCTGTCCTTTTCATGGTTGCATTTATCTACAATGCCTAATCTATTGTCGGCTATAACCGCGTAAGCGCTGCCTACGCCAATAAAGAGGAAGCAGAAGAAGCTACAAAGAAACAACRTCGTATGAAAGCTCATTTCTACTTGCCAAAAAAAAAAAAAWAATAATAGAAGAAAAATTAAAAATACAGTTACATATGAATTCAAAGAAAAGAAAAACTATTTTATAGCCTACTTCCAGGCGCACGTACTATATATTCTCACATATACTGRTATAAATATATTTGCCAGGTTGGATATTCAAATATTATTTATGATCCATATTTTCCGAAGCGTTGCGCCATTTTGTTACTATCTCCTGCATAACAGACTAAAAACTCCATTAATGGAAATTGTTGTAAAATTTATCATCATTGAGTTTGACAGCATAACATTCAAAATTTCCACACCATAACACATATCTCAAATATTTCATATCCGCACAAGCATATAAAGGTGTCTGTATGGACAACTATGTATTCTGATATATACTATAATGRACCGCTTGCACGGACACATCAACTGTTGCGGCCCAACAATTTCTCAAAATACCATAATTCTGATGAAATGACTGATTTCAGTGTTGAAAAGTGTTATATTTCATAATTCTTGGGTCTAGGTATGAGYTCACATATGCGTCGACATATATTTCTACATATGGAAGCATCAGTCAAACAAGGAATACGCTCTTTGTGCTCAAATGGGGCGAGAGTGTGAGAATTGTTCCCTCCTCGTCACTTTATTGATTCATGTGACACAAGATTGGTGTTCTTTTGTTGTTATTTGTCTTCAACCGTGCCGGTTCTTGGATATAAACGTATGCGTGCTTCAAACATATCGCTTTGCGAAGTGTGTTTATGGGCTTCCTTGTAAGCAACTGTCTATTGCGCTGCCTCCAAGTTGACGGGACCTTTAATCAACCCTCGAAACTGTTGATTCAAAATTTGCTTTGTGAAAGGGTAGGTCTAAACTACAGCCATCTTCAGAAGACTTTTATAGTGGTTTGAAGTGCTACGGATTGTGATTATTTTCTCTACGACCATAAGAGCTTTTAGAGCTACTTAAAAGCTTTACTATAATGTACATTTAAAAGTTTTTTTTCAGTTTGATAGAGTAGTTATATGTATATATAGTTTCTTTACACTTACCGGTATGCGTTCTCTGATGTGCTTTGAGATGTGAGCTTTTGGTATATACTTTTTTGCAACCCAAAAATTGGCACTTGTGTATCCGACGCTTGGCATCTGGACTGTGATCGTGTCGCTGGTGGGTCTTGGTAGTCACTGCCGAGTGGGATGAGAAAAACATATATAAACATTTCATAACACAGATTTCGTTTAAATATAACATACTATTTATCTGTTTGCGATTAATTACGGATTACGAAAAGTTAAGGCTTAGAGCTTTAAAGCTTAAGTAAATTCTTGAAGCATACAATCGGCCCAAAAMATTTTTTTTGAGAAAGGCAACGTATGCGAAATGACTGTTATAAATATTTAAATACAAAATTTAAAAGAAGCTTAAAGCTTATTTAATATATATTTAAATTCTGTAGCAATTTTCTGATTAACAAAGTAAGGAAATGCTGAAAGCTGTATGAAAAAAATAATCGTTAACGTTTGGACTTTTAAAACTACTACAACTATTTTCTGGAATTTATGAATCAATTTCTGAGTAGCCAATGCTTCCCCATTTTATTTATTGGAAAAATATTTTTGGGTGATTATTTCATTTGGTAGAACAGTCAAATTTTGCAGTGAAAGCGATTCGAAAGATTTTTTGTAGAGAGGAGCTTGGAAAAATGAGCTTTCGAACTCAAGAAGCTTTCTTTCTCTTTCTCTCACACAATCTCCACAATTTCAAACTTAGAGAGCTATATTGCCATCTCTTTCTCATATTCAATTAATATTTCGGCGAGCTACTCACATGTGGTTACTTGCGGATTTTGCAGCTGTGTGCCGCGCTGGGCAATCTGCGCTGCTGTCACCGCCATATTCATCACATGTTGTTGCATTTGTTGTTGCTGCTGTTTGGATGTGGCTGACGCRTTCAACATCGCTGCKGCCACACTTCCGCTGCCGCTATTCTGCATTTGTATGACACGCGCCAAACTAATGGCTCCACTCTTTGTGCCATTCGCCGATGTCAGACGAACGATGGTGCTGCGCGGAATGTTGGAGTGGACCGTAGACGAGGCTGACGACGAAGACAATGTTGATGGCTGTGACTGGGCTACTGACGGCGGATGCGGCTCGGTATTTGTGCCGGCGCTGGCAGTTTGTATACTTAAGTGCGACTGTTGTTGTTGTTGTTGTTGTTGTTGTTGTTGCAGGTTTTGCTGTTGCTGTTGTAATAGAGGAACTGTAGTCGACGTCAGAGTAGGATTCTTACCGCTATTGACCAGTGTCGTAACGGCGCTGGAGAAGCGTAGTATGGCGGTAGAAGTTGGCGTTGCAGCGGAATATTGCGACTGACCGATGCGCTGTTGTTGTTGCTGCTGCTGTTGCTGTTGTATAAGTGTAGCCAGTTCGGTAGCACTCATAGTACTAGCATCGATTTGTTGCTGCTGCCTCTGTTGTTGTTGCGTATTGTTTGTGATGCTGGTTCGTATCGATTCGGGTGATGATGGCGGTGTTAAGGTCGGCAATATATAATCCTGCGGGCTGCTACTACTACTGCTGCCACTACCGTTGCTGTTGTTGCTACTTTGATTGTTGCTATTATGGCCACTACTGATGCTCACATTAATGCTATTGGCACGACTGCTAACTCCCTTATTGTGCGCCTTTGTAGCGATCACACGCAATTTGATACCCTTCTCCGACACCGCCGATAGGCTCGTGCCAATTTGTGCCGCATTGATGGTGCCAACGATCGGCGTCGGCGTGCTCGATGTGGAGCCGCATGGCGAGTACGCTAGCGAAGTGGCGGCGGCATTGCCCAGTGAAGTGGCCAACGCAGAAGCGGTGTACTTCTCCTCGCAGCTATCTGAGTGCAACTCATCCTCGTCGTCATCGATGCGCTCTTGTTTGACTACCACCGAACAACTCAAGGCCTGCGTGCCGCTGCTATCCCATGACATGCCCGAACATGTCGAGGACACTGAAGACGTTGTGGAGACTGAGTCGAGGTTTTGTTCTTTGATTTTSAGTTCCTCGAAGATGCGCGCCGGCGCCGACAGCAGATCCCATGCTGTGTCGAGTTCATGAATCTTTTTGTATGACTGCAACTTGGGTTCATCGCGCAGATACCGTTCCAATTCGTACCAAGTCTGAAAGAGAAAATACATTGCTAAAAAATKTGGCTAAAAAAGTGAATAAGTATGAGAAAAGTAGTGTTTAAAAATAAGGTGCCTACGACCGCTGAACACTATCCTCAATTAAAATCATCTGTTCCCCCCAACGGGAATACGTAACTAGTATGGACCCGGATTTTTTATCTACTCGCGATTGCAGCGTTTCTCGCATCAAGCCCTTTCGTGTTCGCTAATTGACTTCTTCGAGTCCTTCGAGCTTACCCACGAGCTGTGCTAAAGCTCTGCGGCAGGGCGGCATTGAAGCGCAACCGACATATATCAAATCGAGTTGCCACTGCCGAGCTGGGAGCCATAACCTATCTTAGTCCAATGTGTGCGGGATCCCGAAGGAGTTAAAGCGTGGGTGTTGGTCATGCACCGCCAAATGGCGATATTAATTTCTGACGCAATTGGAGTGCATACAGATATGGTTTTGGTGAATTTAATATTAACTTTGGTTTGGAGCAATTGCATGTCTTTACCCTGCTGCAGCCCAGTAAATTGCGTATTAAATGAATTTTTAAATGACACTACCAAATGCGCGAAATACGATTACTTTGCCATTGGCAGTGAGAACCAGAAATATGGTCCTAAGATTTTCTGTCAATACCCTTGATCGTCTGAATTATCGGCGTGGCATGAAATTCTCCACTTTTGATCTGCAGAATTATCGCTTGGTGGTACCGCAGCTGTTAGCAATCGTATGAAAAATTTTTTTAACTGATATTTATGCTATCTTAATTAGTGACTCTCTTTATCTATTTCAGCCACTTCTTCGGAACGTATAACAGTATTTTTCTTTGGTTAATTTGAGCAATACGCCCATGTCCATACAATATTAACTATTAGAGATATGGGCAACTAATTTGGSCTGAAGAATTATATTTAAATGTTCTGAATCAATAAATATTAAAAAAGCTGAAGTTTATCATTGTGTACAATAGTCCTAAGAATTACAAAATATCAGTCAAATAAAAGTATTTTCTCAGATTTCAATTATTTTTTGTGATATTCTGTTTGGGCAGGTAATTGTAGGGAATATTTCAAATAATTTCTCTCTATATTAAAATATTCATTCAAAGATATATGCTAAAGTGATATGGACAATTTCTGCGGATATTGTCTTACATCATAGCCTATGCCAAATGTCGTGAGCATTTCTCGTCAAATAAAAAAGCTTTCCATATACTACTTCATTCCGGTCCTAATGTAGTCCGATATAGGTCCGTCAAATGAGTAGCTTCTCGATGAGAAAAGAAAATGTGCAAAATTTCAGATTCATATCTCAAAAACGGAGAAACTACACATATATGCTCAAATCAACTCAGTTCGTCATGCTGATCATTTATGTATATATAAGTATACTTTATAAGGTCTATGATGTATTATTTTATGACTTACAAAATTAGTGGCAAACTTGTTCAGRTATACTGTGGTAAAATTTGATTTTGAAATTTTGCTGTAAAGATGAYGTCTAGATTTTTATAATAAAAGAAATCTCTAATAAAGTTCGAAGAACCAAATTATAAATCTATTATACTACAACACATTAGTTATAATTTTGGATTTTAGTTCCAAGTGTTCCATATGTTCATATAATAAGGTTTTCCTTGATCCTTCTCATACAAAGATACTAGTTCCAACATTTCAACAAGTTACCGAATATTTGTGGCTTTAAAATTAACTAAAGCTAGCAAGTTCTTCCCAAAGCATAGTACTCCCGGCAGTTTTCATAAATAACGTGTTGTTTTTTAACTACTCGAACACAATGTTTCTATGACAGATTCCGAAAYCACAATCTACCAGTTATCGTACTCACTAATGCGCGACGTACGGTTGCAAACAAAGTGAAGCGCAGAAGTTTCGCAAAATCTGTCTATCTCGGTCTRCAAAAAATATTCCATTTACGCTTTAAGCATGCTCACTCTTGAATTCTCGTATACTTCTCATACGCATAACTTCGTGAAAACACTTTTGTGCAAAAATTTATGAGTGCTCTACAACTCATGGCGTTAAATATGGCTTTCGAAGTACGCAAATACTTGCCATATATGTTCATATATTTGCGTATCATATTACTTTTGAAGATAACATTACTCGGATCATCCTAGTTTGCACAATAAACCAAATAATGGCGAACGAAATATGAAACAGGAAATATAAAAAATTGAGGACTTGGAGACAGGACACTTTGTTAACGAAGATAATTTTATTTCTTCTGCATCTCTTAAAATTATATCATATCCAGGTAAACTATTAGCTTGTTGCGTAATTATATACATTATGGGAAGATCTAAACAGAAGATAAGATTTCTAAGAAAAAAGTTTTTTATAAAGTGAAATTCAACTTCCAAAAATATAGTACTTGGCAAGAATAAATATGTGCTCGATGGGTTGAAAAGTATTTTTATATAGCCGCTGAGTTTCGTAGCGCTACGAGAGATATGCTTYTGCGACTGCGTGTCGGAATCGCTGTAACACAAAAGACCCACTTTAATGGCGTATGAATCAGCAGCAAAGCAATTTCACTCGCTCATGTACGATGATTAATAGCTGTTGTAAGTGAGGTGCTTTTAACAACTGCATACACACATACAAGATGCAGGAAAATTTAAAACTAGTTGCTTCGAACCAAGTCAAAGTTATGGAAGAGTATTGTAGAGCGAGTTAAATAACTGCACAATGCATTATGCGAATTTTTTGTATGGAAAAAATTAAACGGAAATAATGATAGAGCTTGTTGCACCGAATACATTTCAGAGAAGTTAGTTTTCCTATAGGACACAGCTATTTATGTACTTAAATAGTAATCCAAGCCACATATTGTTTTAAGAAGTGCACAGAAAAAGTAACCGTGGATTCTTGAGAACATGCAAACTGGAATCATAAAGTTCCAGAAAGGTGACTCCATATTGTAATTTAAGCGGTTATAAACGGAACTTGATGAAAAAGAAGCGAAGATAAAAGGCTATAAAGATTCGTGTTTTCTTAAGAGTCTGTTGTTCAGTTGAGTTAAACTTCTTCTGCAACTTTTTTTGTTTTAATATAAGTGGAACTTTGAAGCAAAAGGATACGCAGCAGTTTAAGGAGTCAGCAGCAGCATAATAAAAATAAAATATTTAACCAATGCCCATGTAAATCATTAATAATACCAGATTGAATTATTAGGATTACGCAAAAGACTTTTGTTCGAAAAAATGACGATATGAAAAAACAAGCAAGAGATGGAAGAAAAATGGCGCTTCAATGGATCTAATCACAACACCTATTACACATTTCAAAATCGAGTGTTAAAATTGACATATCATATCTCAAGCATGAAATTTCAAATACTAATAATTCATAAATGCAAAAACAAACAAAAGCGCAAAACAAGAAGCGCAAAAATAAAAAAGAAACACAAAAATCGAATTTTAGCATCTCCTTTCACTGGAATACAACTTAAATGCTCTTTGTGCTTTCTACGCTGTTCGTGCCATGCAATTTCGATGTAAGCAAAGCTAAATAAAAGCGATTGAAATCTTGCAATATTTATTGTTAATACCTTTCGCCTCATCCCCGCTCTGTAACTGTAATAAATTCGCTACTAAGAGCGCTAGCGCCAGAAAGCATGCAATAGAAAATAAATGTTTGCTTCAAAAATGATTTATGTGGAGTGATTGCTGGTCAAAGCTGCAAAAACAACACATCTCTACTACATATRCATACATATAACAATAAAATTGCATGTGTGTGTGTGTCTGCGTATGTGCTTTCAGCGCCATGCAAAAGAGATTATTTTTGAATTTTGAATGCGATACATTGGCAACAACAGCGAAAGCAGCGGCAGCGGCAGCAGCAGCAGCAATAGCTATAATAACAATAGCAAACTGCAAAGAGGAGCATCGGCATGGAAAATAAATATTTCGCCCTTTTATTCTCAAATAACTAACACGCTGCCGCCGCTGAGCGCGTATTCCTAGCATTTTTTGGCTATTATACTAAACAAAGCGTTTGAGCGCACATTTTTGATAAATACAGATATGAACATGTGTATGTGCGTAATGGTGTTGTACACTGTCGTTCCGACTGTTTGTGCATGTTTTTGTTCAATATTTACTGGCTGTTGCTGGCTCGCCGTTATTGTTATTGCGCGGCCATAATTTATGGTGCTTGCTTTCACCCATTTACTGTTATATGTATTGTGTTTGTTGTTGTTGCAGTGTAAACCATTGAATAAATTGCCGCTTTCCTTTGCGCCCCAACTCCCCGCTCTGACTATTCGTTACGGTTATTGTGCATATCTATTGATTGATTGTATTGTGCTGAAGTGGAAACTGTTGAATTGCGCGCCATTATGACGCATTTCAAATAAGCACACACATACACACACGCGAGCACACTAAGTCTGCTCACACATATTAGAAAGCTTATATGAATACAGCTTTTTATGTGTGTGTGTGTCTCCTTTGCTCACACACACGAACTTCAACACGAGTTTTATAGCATGTGATGGTTAGATAAATGCGAATATTTTTTTATAAAAACCAATCAAAAAGTATTTGAATCCTTCACGTTTGACTTTGAACATTGCACACAAGTGCAACTGATACTGGGTTTTCAGTATATTAATTAGAACCATTTACGGAATGAAGTTCCTAGTGTAAAATGCCTGAGTTATATCCAATGATGGTTACTTTATAAACTGGAACAACGGGCTTACTAAAATTGTTACCTCAATTTCAAAGAGTGAACCTTATTTTTGGTTGATTAACAAAGCGGACACATTTGGAGTGATGATAGTCCATAAGCCATGGTTGGCCATTACATATTCAAAGAGTCACTGTTAAGTATGAGTAATACTTAATCAACCTCCTCATGTAATACTTGACGGTGGTACCATGGAGATCGATACAAGGCAGTAGCAGGCTTAGTTCGGATTAAAGTTCCGCACTGATATGTGGTTCAGGCTTTTCAAAAAAATGTGTGGTGTGCTC